TCTTCCCTGGGGGGCGGAAGCTAAGGCGGGTCTCTCCCCACATGCGCCTCCAAGGACCTTCAACTACATTCTCCGGGAGCTTCCCAAAGTGCCGACGCACGTGCCTGTGTGCGTGCTGGGGAACTACCGCGACATGGGCGAGCACCGCGTCATCCTGCCCGACGATGCGCGAGACTTCATCGACAACCTAGACAGGTGGGTGCCAGCTCGCAGGCGCAGCTGCCGCGGTCGGCCTGTCTGCCTGGGATGCTCCTGCTTGCGCCCTCCTCTGCCTCGAGCCCTGGCCGCCCACCCAGCTGCACGGCCCCGGGTCCCCAGGTGCGCCAGCTCCCCCGGCTTCCCTGCCCCGCCTGGCCCGCACCCTGCCCCTCCGGGATGGGGACGCAGACCTGGAGGGTGGGGTGTGGGTGGGCAGGACCGAGGGTGGGCACCTGGCTTCCTGGCACCGAGCAGTCCCAGGTGCCAGGTGGGGGCGGCCTCCCTCCATCTCTGAGGCCGGGGCCAGGCGCTGGGGATGGTGCATCAAGGTCCTGCCGGGGCAGGCAGGCAGGCACCTTCCTGGTCCAGGCATCCCCTGGTGGGCGCCCGGCTAAGCAGAGCCCTCTGAACTTCAGGTCTCTGCCTGCGGATTGTGAGCCCGTCACCCACAGGAGGCGACTCGGCCCTGCAAGGGGGTGCTGGTGCCAAGGGTGGCCCGGCCCGGAGGGGCCAGGCCACGCTGCCCGCTGCCACCACCGTGTCTCATGTCTCCGTGCTTTTCATGAACAGGCCCCCAGGGTCTTCTTACTTCCGCTACGCTGAGTCCTCAATGAAGAACAGCTTCGGTCTCAAGTACCTGCATAGGTTCTTCAACATCCCATTCCTGCAGCTTCAGGTGAGCCCTGCCGGCAGGGTGCAGGGGGTGGGGCTTGGATCTGCCAGGGCCGCTGTGGCGCAGGGATGGGGTCCGAGCGGGCGGGCAGCTTGGTGGTTTGGTTGGAGCAAGGCCATCAGTTAGGATGCCGTGTGCGGGTGCTGGCGGCCCCTTGATGGCCCACCCTGTCCCTTCCCCTTGCCTGGTGGTCTGGGACCTGGGCCTTTCTGGAGCCACGGACCCACCAGCTGCGGGAGAACATGGGTGTTCTTGCACATTCTTCCCGGGAGCTGCGACCCTCTGTGCTGACCCCTGCTGGGGCCCTCATGTGTCCGTCCTCACCGTGGAGGCGCACTCGGCCCTGGCACCCAGATCAGGACGCCTCGGATCCTCCCTGTGGCCATGCCGCTGTGTCCCCGCTGTGGACCTGGCCCCTCTCTGGCGACAGGTGCCGGGATGGGCCCGAGAAGCCCCTGCCCTCCTCCCCCTACTGTGCAGCCCTTTGTTCTTGGTGTTATTGACTTTTGTATTTGGGAACGGTTGTATGTTTGCAGAGAGCGCAGAGGGTTCTGTGCCCCCGTTCAGTTCCCCGATTGCAGCCTCATGTTCCCACGGTGTTCCCGTCAAGACCACAGAACCAGGCTGTGTTGGCACCTCCCGCCGGCCCTCTGTCCTGGGCCCCACCCAGCCCACCCCACACGTAGTGGTCACTCCTCCGCGGCTGCGCTGGGCTGTGACGGTTCTTCAGACGTGCCTGGCTCAGGGTCTGTCTGACCTCAGATGGGTGATGGGCTTTTGTGCGCGAGACCGCAGAGGTGACTGCCCTGCTCATCACATGGCGGGGACACGTGTCACCCACACGGCTTGTCACTGGGACATTGACCCGTGGCCCTTGCAGCCACAGCGGCTTCTGTTCTCTCTCCAAAAGGATGTAGAACTTACTCGGGCGAGTGGCTGTCTTTCCTTTCCTCTCGCCTTCTTTTGAAGAGACGAGGCCTCTGCAGGCCAGGGCGGCGAGCATTTTCAGGGTGTCCAGACCTCACAGACGTGCCGGCCGCCCTTTCCTGGGTGTTGATCCACGTCGCCTGTAGGAGTCCCTTTAATTTTCTGTCCAAGTAAAACGTGCATACAAATCGCAGGAAAACACCCGCAGCGTGGGTTGCGGGGTGGCATCGGGCAGGATGGAAGCTGGAAGCCGCTGCTGCTGCTGAGCCTGGGGCTGGCAGGAAGCGCGTGTATTTCAGCAAGTGTTGGGGCTTCTTGCACTTTAGGGTACCTTGTGTGAACAGGGCGCTGTCTCTCTGGGCGGTTCGCTTGCATCACGACCTCTGCCCCTGGAGCCCTGCAGAGCAGCTGAGGCATCATGCCCCCCTGGGCGAGGCCGTGCGGGCTCCCGGCTCCAGGCACTCAGCTTGCGGTGGTTTTGTCCGCCAAGGGCCAGCCGAGAGGGGCGCCAGGCTGAAGGGGTGGCTCACTGCATCGGCGGTCCCAGCTCAGGTGTCTGCTTCCTTTCTGTAGAGAGAGACGCTGCTGCGGCAGCTGGAGACGAACCAGCTGGACATCGATGCCACGCTGGAGGAGTTGTCCGTGCAGCAGGAGACCGAGGACCAGAACTACGACATGTATGTCAGCCGCGGCTGCCCTCAGCGTTTAGACCCTGCAGGCGGGGCTCTGTGGGCAGGTGGCACGTGTGCCCTGTGGGTCAGGCCTCCCTCTGAGCTCGGGTGTGCGCTTAGCGGGCCCGCAGCCTGAGTGCCACCCACCCTGGTAGATCTGTCCACGTGGAGGTGTGTTGCTCAAAGAAATCGAGTCATTTCAGCTTTGAGTGTGGTCCAGGCCCCATGGGAAGGGGGCGAGGGTGGCTCTCTCCACGCTGTCAGGCCTCGGCTCTTCCTTGGGAAGCAGATACCGGGCTCCTCCTGGCCCTGAGGACGTGAGGTTGGACACCCCAGGGCCCTGCCACCCCCTGCCCACTGAGCACTTCGGGCCCGGCCTGCTTTAACCGGGTGTGACGGGCACACAGTGTGGCCAGTAGTTCACGGAGGTGCTTCTGCAGCTGCTGCCCCCAGACAGCTGCCTGCCTTGCGGGGGTGGAGGGAACACGGCGTGCAGGCCCGGTGCGGCTGTAGGCGCTCTAGCTGCCTGGTCCCCGCCTGCCTCTGTCCAGACCAGCCCGCCTGTCGGCCACCTGGCATGCAGGAGGGGGAGCCGCTGACCTGGCCACGTGTCCACCCCAGGCCCCAGCAAGACTGGCCACCCTGACGTTTTCCAGCCGAGGCCCTGTCCCTGTTTTGACACAGGTTTCCGAGATTGATGCCAGTGGAGAGAGCTCCTTGACCTTGGCAAGGCGTGTTGGGTGGGAACGAAATCTCCTGGCCCTTGATAGTGGAGGAAGGGGCGTTGTCCTGCCACTTCCAGCAGGACGGCCGAGCGGGCGGGGAGTAGCCCCCGGGCAGGCCCTCCTCTGCCCTCGCAGGGTCTTGGGGCCCCCAGAGCAGGTAGCAGGCCCGTCCGCCTTCCACCACTCGCGGGCGAAGGCCTAACCCTGAGCCACCCCTAAAAACAGGTCCTTCCTTTGCTTTGTTGAATTATCCAAATGTCGGGGCCGGGGGGTGGGGCGCAGGCTGCTGCCCCGCCTGTGCTCACGGCCCGGAGCACGGGCTCTGGCTGCGGCCCAGGCAGGACCCTCGCACCTCCCAGCTGCCCCCAGGGACTCGAGGAAGGGCCTTTGGGTCTCCCGAGAAAGATCCAGCTGCTGGCCCTGGAACAGTGAGGGGGGGGCAGCAGGAGTTATTCTGGGGGGGTGGTTCTCCTGCTCTGGCTGCCAGGCTGGCCTCGCTGTGGACGCCACCCTGGGGCTGACCAGCTCCTGCAAGGTGTCCTCTGATGGAGAGCTTGGGCGCCCGGCTTCACCAAGCATAGGGTCCCTGGGGAGGTGGCAGCTGGAGCCTCCCCACAGCGTCCGTCCTCAGCCAGCCCCCGGGACCAGGCCATTGGAAGAAGGCGGCGCCATGGGGGGCTCGGCTGTGGTGTCCCTGTGACCTCCCCTGAGCAGCTGGGGGACCGGACGAGGTCTGGGGACACCCTGTCACCACCAGCACAGCAGCAGCAGCCTCTGCGGAGCCTCAGAGGAAGAGACGCGGGGAGGCGGCTTTCTCACTCCTTGCCTGTTTGCCCGCAGCTTCCTCGAGATGATGGAGGCCCGCAGCCGTGGCCACGCGTCCCCGCTGGCCACCAACGGGCAGAGTCCATCCTCGGGCTCCCCGTCTCCTGTGGTGCCTCTGAGTGCAGTGTCCACGGGGAGCTCCAGCCCCAGCACACCCCAGCCGGCTCCGCAGCCGCCCCTCCAGGCCCCCTCAGCTTGCCCGGGGCCGCCCTGCCCCTCGGAGGCGCCGCCAGCCCCTGCACACACCCTGGTCCCCGCCGCACCCCCGCGGCGCAGCATCATCTCGCGGCTGTTCGGGACCTCGCCGGCGGCCGAGGTGGCCCCTTCACCCCCAGGTAGGCCCCAGAAGCAGCCCTCGGGAGGTGGGCACAGGCATCCCAAGTGGGGTGCAGCCCTGTCTCCCTGGCCCCGGGAGCCCTCGCCGGCCGGGATGGGGTCCCCCTTCTTGCTGCTGGGCAGGCAGCCCCACAGCCTAGCCACACAGCATCCTGCTTGTGGCCCAGCCTGGGGTGGACCCAGCTGGGCTGGGCGCTGGGCAAGCGTCGGTGCTGCTGTCCACAGAGCCGGCCCCAGCTCCAGAGGCCCCGGCTGGAGTCCAGAACGTGGAGGACTTTGCTCCTGACGACAGTCTTGACCGCAGCTTCCTGGAGGACGTAGCCCCCCCAGAGGATGAAAAGAGAGTTGGAGCCAAGGTCCCGCAGGACAGTGACAGGTGAGGGCAGGGCCTGGAAGGCAGGCGGCTAGCTGCTGCCATCCTCAGCCTTGGCCCTCGGCTCGTCAGGTGTGGACGCTGCTGCCTCCCTGGCACTGGGCAGGCGGAGGGGACAGGCACCCCATCTGGGCTCTGGGGACAAAAGCAGAGCTGGGCCTGAGGAGCTGAGGGAAGGGCAGCCTCACACCTGCAGGGAGGGAGCAGGGCTCCCCGACTGCTGGTGACCCGTCTGTCAGCGGCATCTTCCTGTCAGTGACTTCCTTGGGCTGATGCCACTTGAGAGCCTTGGCCGGGTGGAAGGAGGAACCCTGGGGCCAAAGAGCCGCTGTCAGCTTCTCCCACAGTGGGTAGCCGGTCAGGGCCGCACGGGAGAGGCTTGAGGCCCGGCGCACACTCTCCCTTCCCGGTGCTGAGCCCGAGTGAGGCCCGCCGCTCCGCCTCCACTGTCACCATGTGTCCCAAAGTGCAAAATACCAGGCCGAAGCCAGCACTGTGCCCCTGCCAAGGGAGGGCCCCGGCATCACTGAGCCCCTCATCACCCTGGGCCCCACACCCCTCACCCCACCACCCCACGGGAGGGCACCCACTTCAGGTGTCCACCCGCGGGCCCCACCGTGGCTTCCCGCCGCACAGGGGCATCTCTGTCCTCTCCTCAGCCCACCTCATGCCTGCTCTCCTGTCGACCTCTGCCACAGCTCTGCTGCAATGTGGTGGGTCCCCTGCACAGGACAGCCCCCAAGGCCACCCTCGAAGTGTGTCCCCCTTTGCTGCGTCCACGCAAGGGTGGACAACCCCGCCGTCAGGGCCCTTGCCTGGCACAGAGCGGCCTGGTGATCAGGGTGGGCGCTCCATACCCAACTCGTGACCTCTGACTGCCCTGCCTGTCCTTTGCAGTGATGGGGAGGCCCCAGGAGGGAATCCAATGGTGGCGGGTTTCCAGGACGACGTGGACCTTGAAGATAAGCCGCCTAGTAGGCCCCTGCCTCCCACGGGCCCCATCCCCAGGGAGCACATCACTCTGTCCAGTGAGGAGGAAGAGGAGGTGGCGGCAGGGCGCCACGAGGCCACCGTCCTGGCCCCCCAGAAGTGCTCTGAACCAGGGACCAAACGGTATGTTGGGGGTGGGAGGGAAGGGGTGTCCCACGGGGGAGGGCAGCCTCAGGCTCCGTGACCCTCCCGTGTGTCCTGCAGTTCCTCCACGAAGGCCTCGAGGCCACACCAGGACGCAGCTCCCAAGGCCACAGAGCCCCACTGGCCAGGCGGTACCGAGGGCTCCTCTCCGGGGCTGGAGGACGGGGGTGACAAGCAGGTGTCATCAGAGAGTGACCCCGAGGGGCCTATTGCCGCCCAGATGCTCTCCTTCGTCATGGACGACCCTGACTTTGAGAGTGACTCAGATGCTCAGTGGAGAGCGGTGAGGACTGACCTTGGCACCACGCTGCCTCCGAGTCCAGGGCGAGTGGTGGGTGGGGCGTGGCAGAAAGGCACGGGAGACACGAGAACGTGGTGGGGGTCTCGCGGGGCGTGAGTCAGGGCAGCCTGGCTGAGCCGGGAGGGCTGCCCCGCAGGGGGCTGCGTGTGCCAGGCCCAGGCTGACCCCGTTCTGGGGAGGATGTGGTTGGCGGACCTCGGCGTCACGGCTGCCCCGCTTGGGCTGTCGTCGCTCTGGGTGAGCCCGTGGTGCGGGGCCGGCGCGGGAGCCTCCTTACGGAGTCACGTGCCAGGGAACTGGGGAGGGGCTCGGTGGCCCAGCTGCCCGCTCCTTCTCCAGGGTGAGTTTCCGGTGCGAGAGGACCTCTCGGACGTGACGGATGAGGAAGCCGGCCCTGTCCAGCCGCCCCCGCCCCCCAAACCCCCTGCCCCCTCCTTCAGACTGAAGAACGACTCGGATCTCTTCGGGTTGGGGCTGGAGAGCACGGGCCGCAAGGAGAGCAGCGAGGAAGGTAGCTGCGGGGCCACACGCCTGCCCCTCCCTCCCCATCCAGCTGCGTCAGCACTGGTGACTTGTATTGTGTCCCAGCCAGGGGCCATGTTTCTGACCCCTTACCTGTGCTTTCAAACCTGGGGGCCCCAGAGCACAGGAGCACGGGGGCGCAAGCAGCGAGGCCATCCCGCGGGGCCAGAAGCCCAGTCCCTTCTTTCTCTGTCCTGCTCGGGGTCCGGCTGTGTTCTGACGACATCCCAGGCTTTCAGGCCAGGACCAGGCTGGAAGGATGGGCAGCTGAGGCAGCTGACCGAGTGGCCACACAGGAGGCGTTTGGTGGCGTGGGCAGCGCTGCTGCGCGCTCTTCTGGACCCTCAGTCCGGCCCTGCATTGCTGAGCCCCCGTGCTCCACGGCGACCCTGGCCAGCTCCACGGCTCCCTGCCCCATCCCCAGCCTCCACCCTGGGCAGCTCGAGCCCAGCAGCATCACCTGGGCCGGTCCTGGAACTGCCCCGTCCCCAAAGTGGGGAGGAAAGGACCTTCCTGGGCCTGTCCTGGTGCTGAAGTGTCTGGCCCGTCCACGGGAGCGGCTCCTGTTGCCTTTGCAGCCAGGGCCCCACCCAGGCCCAGGGCAGAGGCTTGAGGTGCTGGGTGTTCACCCTGGGCTGTGCTCACACTGGGACCCCAGCCCCGGGCCTCGGCTAGACCCGCCCACTCCCAGGCTCACACCAGTCCGGGAGGCCGGGGGCGTGGCCTCTGGTGCACGGGGAGCTGATGCTGCGTCTCGCCCGTGCAGATGAGGGGGGCCGGCCGCCCTCGAAGGACGAGAGGAGGAAGAGGAGGAAGGGCGGAGAGGTACCCGCGCCCCCTGCGCTTGCCGGGCGCCCCTGGGCGGCGTGGGCCAGCGCGGGCCCTGCTCTCCAGCGCCCGGTGACGCCGCCCCGCCCCCTCCAGGAGGAAGCGAAGGCCGCGCGGAGGAGGAGCCGGCGGAAGAGCAGGGACCCGGCGGAGGCCGAGGGCCGGGAGGGGCGGCGGCGGCGGCGGCGCGGCACGGAGAGGCCTGCGGTCCACGAGCTGGAGGCTTTCCTGGGGGGCGGGGCCCCGGGCGGCCACCTCCGCGGGGGCGGCGATTACGAGGAGCTCTAGGCCCGGCGCGCAGGCCGCTCCGCGTGTGCGGGTGGCGCGGGGCCCGCCCTGCGGGGAGGGGCGGCGGTCTCTGTGGGCAGCCGGCCCCCAGCGCTTCTCAGGGATGGGACTGCGGCCGAGGAACCCGTGAGGCTGTTTGCGGGGGTGGGGCGCTGTTCCCGTCGCCTGCCCGGCCCCTGCTTGCCCTCGGCCCGCCGCACGCGCTCACCCAGGCCCGCTGCATCCAGCGGCCTCCGCTTCAGCTGCGCCGGCGCTGCAGACCTCTGGTCCCCAGACCCTCGGGGCACCCGTGCGCAGAGGGCAGGCGGCGCTGGCGCGTCTCTGGGGGCAGCTCTTTCCAGGCACAGCGACCGGCTTTGCACCCGCACCTGAGCTCGGGCGTACGCGGGCCGAGCGGGGAGGCCCTCAACACTCGTGTCCTTTTGTTGTCCTTGCACACCACTCGGACCATAAAGCTCTCCTGTTTTACTGCGCATCTGTGTATGCTGCTGCGGGGCCCCTGCCCGACTGGGACGGGTCCACCCCACCACCCCCCGCCCCCGGTCGGCGTGGGTGGGCAGGAAGCTCCTGAGCGCCCTACCTTCAGGCCCCAGAGCCCTTTTCCCCTGAGAGATGACTGCTCTTGGGGGTAGGAAGCCTCAAGCAGGCCCAGCCCTATGCGTGCCATGCCCTATCCGGGTGGGACCAGCACAGCCACCATCCTGTGTGCCCGGTCCAGCCCTCTGAGGGCAGCTGTGTGTCCCTGCTCCCACCTGACGCCCAACCCTAACCCCACGGGCCGCTCCCCGCCAGCTGTCAGCAGGGCCCTGCCCCGCCCCCAACCCCACAGGTGCCCAGAGAACTGCTCCCTCCGAGGGCTTACGGACTACGCCTTTGCAGGCGGAAGCGGGGCCTGGTGGCCGGGCCTCCCCCTCCCCAGTTCCTGTACCTAGAGACCTTCGCACCCAGGAGGCCATGGGCCATCGGTCACTGGGCAGGTGTTGGGGGCTGGGCCCCAGATACATTAGGGGCTCCCTTTAGCCCGGAGTTTGTGAGGTCGACTGTCCCTGTAGTACCCGCTAACGTGGGGACCACACTGACCTGAAGCTTGCCCAGGGCCCCTCATCTGACGGACTCACAGTGTGGCAGGTCCCGGCCTTCGGAGCCAAGGGCATCGGTGACCTGCCTCTCTGCCAGGTGACCTGCTCTTCTGCCAAGCCAGAATATTTCCTGCTCAGCATCGCGTGTGGGAGGGGCCTGGAGGGAGGCTGTCACCATGCAGTTCATGGGTGTGCAGAGCTGCCCAGAGCAGCGGCAGCCTCTGGACATTGGAGGTGGGGAGCGCAAGAGCATGCCCTTGCATGGGGAAGCTGGACATCCTGGGGACAGGAGGCTGCAGGCACTCAGGTGGTGCCCATCTGGACCCAGGTACCTGGGGAGGGCTTGGCACCTCCAGCACTGCAGCACAGAGGCCAGCAGGGCGGGGAGCCGCCCATCTGCTCCTGCCCGGGCTGAACCGAGGCGTGAATTCCGGGAGCTGTCTGCTGTGCGGGCCAGGGCTTGGGCCTCCTCCAGGCTTCAGCTCCAAGGCCTGCCAGGCCACCAGCTGCCCTTGGGCAGGTGTCCTGGAGATGGGGGCTGGCAGGACCGGCCAGGTGCTCCCTGGACCCGGGTCCCCTAGTTAGACCCCAGGCCTGCCCTTGAGGCTGCAGAGAGCCCGTCACCCCGCGCCCAGCCACAGCCCCAACCTGGAGCCAGCGGGGCACACGCGTCCCAGGCCCACGGCGCGGCCCCTTTAAGTGCAGTCCTGCCAGTCGCCATTGGGGGCAGCACTGAGCGGCCCGGCGGCCTCGCGCCGCTGCCTGGAAGCTTCTGCTGGTGCCGGGGACGCGGCGGCAGCGCGGGGGGACGGCAGAGCTCGCCGGGCCTGCGCAGCCCACCGGGCAAGGTGGGGGAGCACCGCCCAGGTAAGGGGTCGAGGCCGCTGCCCCGCGGGTCTCTCGCAGGTGCGGCACCTGCAAGGATGGGGGTGCCGCCCCTGGAGGACGCCGGCCCCAACCCGGGCGCTCGGGGCAGGGGCCGGGCTGCTTGGCGGGGAGGCCACCCGCCGGGCTCATTAGGCCTAGGACCCCGGCGAGGGCGGACTGTCCCATCCCCACGGGCAGGGGTGTCGTCCAGTCTAGCTCCTCATCACAGCAGCACCAAGGCCGGGCTGTCACCTCCCTGGGGCGGAGCCTCACACCCCGTCATCCAGCCCCCAATTCCGGCCTAGCTTTAAGATGGAAGGGAGTGGGAGGGGGTGGTCCTGCAAACCAGGGGTAGTTGGGGTGCGCCTGAGGCTGAGCTGGGGGCAGGCACTGGGCCTGGGTGGCCTTGACCCAGGAGGGCAGCCCTGCCGGCAGGGAGCCCTTGGCACACCCGGGACGCAGAGGGTCAACCAGACCAGAGGTCCTCCCAGGTGAGGACCCAGCTCACCCTGGAGCACGCTCCCCCAGCTTGTGTGAGGAAGTGGTGACCTGTACCACTGTCTGAGCTCCTCCCAGCCTGTCCAGGCTCTGGGTACCCAGGGAAGCCGGTGGCTCAGGTCTGAACGTGAGCCTGGTACAGAGGGCTGGACCCCAGCTCAGCCTGCATGCGGGGGCATGGAACCTCAGGTTTCCATGGAGCCTTCCCGAGCTGCTGTGGGGAGGGCCTGCCTGAGAATCGGGGGCGGCGGGGGCTTTACCCACCCACCGCCCTGCTTCCCCGGCTGGCAGCCTCCCAGCCTGGTGCTTTGCTCAGGGACCCAGGGGCAGCCTTGAGCTTCTGGCTTACAAGCCCCCACGTGGTCCTCAACCAGGGCCCGGTTTCCGGCTGCAGTGTACTCACTGCAAAGATGGGGGGGTCGCTCTCCCGGGCTTTTCATGACAGCCCCAAAGATCTTAGTGGGTTTCGCCACCCCAAGATGAGGGAGAGTCAAAGGATGTTTCTGCAAAGGAAAGGGAGCTTTAGGGTCCACTATGATCTGTGGAAGCATTACTCTGGCCTGGGCCACACGGAGAGTTGAGGGTGGGGCCGGCAAGTCCACGAGCCGAGATGCCATGCCTGGACCCGATGGGGCCACTTCAGGACCTGGGGCCTGACACAGCGCTGGGGGAGGCCTGCATGTCCAGCCTAGCCAGCAGATGGGGCGGGACGCTCAGGTGACTGAGTGGAGCTGCCGAAGGAAGGCCGGGGCCGGGACCTCACACTGCAGCAGTGGAGGGCTCGCTCTGCACTGGGTCTTAAGGAGGGCGCTTCAGCCACCCGCTCTGTGGAGCCAACATCTATAAAGAAGTCTGTGAAGGCCCCAAAGGAGTACACAGTTGCTCCAGCAGTGGGCACCACGGTGGTGGTCCTGGGATCACACCCCCACTCTTCCTACCCCGCTGCTGGCCTGTCCCAGGAAAGGGGGTCTACCCAAGCCTGCCCAGTGGTCACTAGTGGGCGCAGAAGTTCGGGAACCACTGCAATGACATCCCTGTTCTGGCTGACCTGCCTCATCCCAACAGAAAGTGGCACAGAAAGGATGGTCTGGATGAGGGAGCAGGACCTGAGTGGCTGGACAGCTGGGTTCCTCCTGCAGGTGCTTCTGACGCCAGCATGGAGCAAGTGCCTGCGGCCTCGGCCAAGGCCCGTGGCCAGGGCTGCCCCGCCCACTGTGCCCCAGGTAAGCCGGGCCAGCGCTGGGGGTTAGCGGGGCCTGGGCTACAGAGGGGCTGCCCTGACCCGCGTCTCCCCTCAGGGCGAAAGCCCCGAAAGGCCGAGTGAGCTGCAGCCTGGAGACCTCTTTTAAGATGACCCGCACGGACCCGCCGGACCTGCTGGTGTCGACCGTGTACCAGGACATCAAGGTGGCGGCCCCGGGGCCCGTGTCGAGGCCCCCGCCATGTGAGCGCCCAATGGCCCGGCCTGCTGCGCCCGCGCCTTTCAACAAGCGCCACTGCCGCAGTTTCGATTTCCTGGAGGCACTGGACCGGGAGGCCATGGAGGCCCGTCCGGAGCCGCCGCCTCCGGAGCCCAACGCGCCGCGCGCCCGACCCCGCGACGGCGAGCCCCGGCGCCGCGCCCGCTCCAAGAGCGCACCCCGTGCGGCCCCGGGCCTGGCGCCCGCACCCGCCTCGCCGCCTGTGCCGCCGCGCCGAGGCCGGGAGGCCCAGCGGGCGGCGCCGGCCGACGCATCGCCCCGCCGGGAGCCCGCGTACCCCGCGCTGCGCGCGCTCGCCAACGAGCTGCACCCCATCAAGCTGCAGCCTCAGCGGGGCGGCCCGGGCCGCATGGCGCCCCTGTGCGCCGCCGCCAACCGCTGTGCACCGGCCGAGCCACCCGCGGGGCCGGCCCCCCACGTCCGCTGCCGCCTGGACGTCAAGCCCGACGACGCGGTGCTGCAGCATGCCGCCCGGAGCTCGAGGCCCTGCGGGCCCACCGAGACCGCGCCCTGGCCCCGCGCCGCCCCGCAGCTCCACGGCCTCACGGTGCCCGGGCCTCGCCACGTGGGGCTCTCGCTCACCCCCACCCCCAGTGACTCATACTGCGCCGACCCCCGGGCGCTGTACTGCGACGGGCCCCTTCCCGGGCCCCGGGACTACGCGGAGCGCCGGAGTCTGCCCCTCACCGCCCCGCCGGGCCCCACCCACTTTTTCTACACCGAGGAAGCCGAGGGCCACCCCGGTGGCTTCCTGGCCAGCCCTGGAGCGCCCCTCGACAGCTACTATCCCAGGCCCGTTCTGGCCGAAGAGCTACCCGGGCCCAGTCCAAGACGCGGGGGCGTCTACTATGCGGGGGAAGTTCGCACCTTCCCCGTCCAAGAACCACCCTCCCGTTCCTACTACGGGGAGGGCCCCCGAGCCTACGGCCCGCCCTGCGGCCCCCGCTACGCCCCCGAGGAGCCCCGGGCTCACCCCGCCGCCCGCCCCTTTTACACTGAGGACTTCGGGCGGTACCGCAATCGAGACGCCCTGACGCGGACTTACCCACACCCACGCGGCAGCCCGGCCTGGGACGACTGGGGCCCGAGGCCTTACCGCACCCTGCAGGTGGCGCCTCCTCCCCCGGACCCCGGCCCGTTGCTCGCCTCGTGGCACGGCGGCACCGGCACCAGCCCACCCCGGCTAGCGACCGACAGCCGCCACTACTCGCGCTCCTGGGACAACATCCTGGCGCCCGCGCCGCGCCGCGAAGACCCACTGGGCCGCGGCCGTAGCTACGAGAACCTGCTGGGGCGCGAGGCGCGGGAGCCGCGGGGCACATCCCCCGAAGGCCGGCGCCCGCCCGTCATAGTGAACCTGTCCACCTCGCCCAGACGCTACGCGGCGCTGTCGCTGTCCGAGACATCGCTGTCGGAGAAGGGCCGTATGGGCGAGGGCCTGGCCCGAAACTGGTACGTCACGCCGGAGATCACCATCACCGACAACGACTTGCGCGCGGCTGAGCGCCCGAGCGCCAGGAGCTGGGAGCTGCCGGGGAGCCGCCCGCGGCCGCCTCCGCCCGCCGTCCCCGATGGCCCCGCCTCTGGCCGCCAGCGCAGCCTCGAACAGCTGGACGAGCTCATCACTGACCTGGTCATCGACTCGCGGCCCCCAGCCGGCCAAGCGCCCGAGCCCGCGTCCGACGGCCTGGGCCGCCAGCTGCGGCGCCTGCTAGACTCGCGGCCCTCGGGCGCCGGGGTTCCGACGCGGGCGCCGCGCTCGCCACCCCTGTCTGCCGGCAGCGCTGAGGAGCCCGCGGGCCCGGGGCAGGCGGCCGACGCGTCCCCGGAGCCCAGCGCCGACGAGGACGACCTGATGACGTGCTCCAACGCGCGCTGCGGGCGCACCGAGACCATGTTCAACGCCTGCCTCTACTTCAAGTCCTGCCACAGCTGCTACACCTACTACTGCTCGCGCCTCTGCCGCCGCGAGGACTGGGACGCGCACAAGGCGCGCTGCGTGTACGGCCGCGTGGGCAGCGTGTGCCGCCACGTGTTGCAATTCTGCCGCGACAGCGGCCCAGTGCACCGCGCCTTCTCGCGCATCGCGCGCGTCGGCTTCTTGTCGCGCGGCCGCGGCGTGCTTTTCCTGGGCTTCCCGAGTCCTGGCTCCGCAGACAACTTCCTGCGCTTCGGCCTCGAGGGGCTGCTGCTGTCGCCCACCTACCTGTCGCTGCGCGAGCTGGCCACGCACGCGGCGCCACTGGGCAGCTATGCTCGGGAGCTGGCGGCCGCCGGGCGCCTCTACGAGCCGGCGGAGTGCTTCCTGCTCAGCGTGTCCGTGGCCGTGGGCCCCGGCGCTGCGCCACCCGGCGCCCCTGCCCGGTCAGCTCCCGCGCCGCGCAGCCCCGGACCCACGGTGCGCAAGTTCGCCAAAGTGGCGCTGGCGGCCGGCAGCCCAGCACGGCCGCCCCCTGCGCGGGGCCGCGAACCCGACATGGAGACGTTGATCCTGACGCCGCCGCCCGGCACTGCGGGCCTGGACCAGGACGGCGAGGCGGGCCGGCGAGCACGCGAGGTGGCCTTCATCCACATCCAGCGAGAGCTGCGGCTCCGCGGCGTCTTCCTACGCCACGAGTTCCCGCGCGTCTACGAGCAGCTCTGCGAGTTCGTCGAAGCCAACCGGCGCTTCACACCCACCACCATCTACCCCACGGACCGGCGCACAGGCCGCCCCTTCATGTGCATGATCATGGCCGCCTCCGAGCCACGCGCGCTAGACTGGGTGGCCAGTGCCAACCTGTTGGATGACATTATGTGAGCCGCGAGGGCGCGCCCGGGGCCCGCCCAGCCCACCCGGGACCCACCCTGAACCCCATCCAGCCCACCGGAGCCCTGCCCAGTCTACTCAGGCCCCGCCCCGAGTTCACAGTCCCCGCCCAGCCCGCCAAAAGCTCCGCCCCATTGCGTTCTCCACAGGCTCCGCCTTTCCCTCCGCCTTCCTGCGAACCCCCTTCCCCCGCAAGCCCCAGACCAGTACTGCCCGGCTCCCTCTCCCCCAGCTCGCCTTCGGGCCTCCCCAGGGGCCGGTCCTCGGCCGCTTGGTGCTCCCCGCTGGGAGGCGGGGTGGGTCTGAGGACCAGCCCGCCCTGCCTTTACGCGGAGGGGTCACTGCTGCAGATCCCACCGCGCATAATCGGTTCGTCCGACCCCTGTCCGTCTGCAGGGCCTCCCTGGAACCTCTCCATCCCCGGCTCGCCCAGGTCCAGGAGCCCGAGTCGACCAAAGCCTAGTCCCGTCCCTTTAAACACACTCCCCACCCGCCTCCTGTGGTCTGGGATGCGTCCTGCTCAGAGACCTTTCCCCTCTAGAGGACACCCTGATTGGCCTCGGTGTGTCCGCATCCCAAGCACGTCCTGGCCTGATGGGCAGGGCCGGCAGGGACCTGCGCGTGGTGTCTCCGCTGGCCCCCACCCCTGCTGTGCCGGACCATGGCAAACTGACGGCGCTGCCCGCCCTGCTGCAGGGGTTGGGCAAGCAGCAGTGAAGGGGTACCCGAGGGTCCTCAGCCAAGGTGCAAGACACCCAGCCAGAGGGAAGGGAGTCCTGGGCGGGGGAAGCAGAGGGCACGTATGGGTAAGGGCGCTGGCCAGACCTGAGACCTGGCTGGGCGTGAGTCGGGCTGCCTGCCCTCACCCGACAGGATGGCCCTAGGCGTGTGCCAGGGCAGACCCGGGGTGCAAACGGCAGCGCAGGCCCTAACCACACAGGGAGGCAGGAAGCAGGTATACAGGGAGGCAGGAAGCAGGTGCACAGGGTGGATTTCAGCAGGGACCCTATCCCTAGGCGCAGGGAGGACCGAAGAAGAGGGGCGTTCCCAGTTTGGAGCAGGGCGGGGAAAGCGTGGATGGGGGCAGGTTCGCCAGGGCGGTGGTCCACCGGAGGGGTGGGGGCGCGATTAAACAAACGCCCCCGAGCGCTCGCTCTAGCCGTGCCCTGTGGTGCGTCCAGGGGGCCCGGCTCCGGCGCTCGGGAGCGCACGCTCGAGTGTCCGTCGTTCCCCGCCCTCCCCCGGGGTGCCCGCTGGCCCTGGCCCGGGCTCCAAGGATGGCGAGTAACCTGGAGAGGGGGCAAGGCCGGGAGCCCGGAAGGGCCCTCCTGTAGCCCCCAGTCCCCCACTGGAGCCAGGTGGGGCATCGACTGAATTAAATTGTGGACCTCCCCCCCCCAACCCCCGCCTCTGTTCCCGGCCCTCGCCCCTGACCGTGCACCCGCGCCCATCTCCCTCCCCTAAACGCCTGTGCGCCTGCCTCGGCTCCGCGCATTTGCACCGGCCACGCGCCCCGCTTGCCCCACCCGCCTTCGCGGCCTCCCAAACTGGCCGCCGCGCCCCCCGCCTGGGTGCCTCCGCCTTCTGCCCCACGCCTGAGGGCTGGCCCTCCAGGAAGGACCCTGGGCCGGGATTATTTCCAGAGGGCGAGCGCTTTTGAACCAAGGAAAATAAAACTCGAATGTAGCCATTGCTGCCTCCTCATTCTTTGTGCGGGGGGAGTGGGTGGCACGCGGGACGGAGACTTTCGGCTTGGGAAACCGGGGAGGGACACCATGGAGCAACGCGGAGTGGGAAGCAGAAGAGAGAGGCCCTCGGACTCGGTGGGGGACGGGGGAGGGAGGCCCTCGGGCACGGGGTGGGGGGAACCCGGAGGGAAGCCAAGGGACAGCGGGAGCGGACAGCGGGATCGGTGTAGGCGAGCGAGGCCTTCGGTCACGTGAGGGAGGGCGTCAGGGCCGGCGCGCGTACCTTGGGCCTCATGGGCGGTCTAACCCCAACCAAACGGGCCTGTCACACCCCCACCTCCCCCCAAGCTCCCTGGAAAGGAACTTTTCCGGGGGCTGGATTGAGTCACCACCTACTCCCGGTTCCAAGTTCCTCTTTAAGTGGAGCCGGCGTGGCGTCTGGGCTGCAAGGAGCTGGATAGCGATTGGCCAGTCTGTGCCGCGGGTTGGCCGCGTGGTTGGCTGAGGCACTGGGCTCGGGCAGCATGACCCCGCGGGATTGGTCATGGGCCCTCAGGCCCCGCCTCCCGCACTGTCGGCGCAGCCCCGGGTCGCGTGGGGGGAAGGGCCGCGGGCCGCAGGGGGTGAGTGCGCTCCGGGGACATGACGGCGGCGGACCTCCCCCAGATCCCCGACGTGGACATCGACTCCGACGGCGTCTTCAAGTATGTGCTGATTCGAGTCCACGCGGTGCCGCCCTCCGGGGCCCCGGCCGGGGAGAGCAAAGAGATCGTGCGCGGTTACAAGTGGGCCGAGTACCACGGTGAGGGCGGGGCGGAGGGCCAGGGGGCGGGGTCTCCGGCGTCTGTGGGCGGGACTAGCCACGGCTGTGGGCGGGGCCGAGGGGCGTAGTGGGAGGTGATCCTGTACCCGGTTTCATCCCTGGCTGGCCCAGAGGAGGGTGGAGTACCCAGAGTCTGGAGTACCCAGATGGTCCTGGAGACAAGGGGCTGCCATGGCCCGACTCCTCCTGCCCGGGTGCACCCCCTCCTCCGTTTCATCCCTTCCCGGAGGGTCTCCTCTCCTGGGGAGGGAGCTGCTCAGAGCGGGGCTTCAGACCCCTTCAGCCTCCAAGGGCAGCCAGGACGCGTGCTGAGCCCCCCTTCCTGTCCCAGCGGACATCTATGACAAGGTATCAGGCGAGATGCAGAAGAAAGGCTACGACTGCGTGTGCCTGGGGGGCGGGCGCATCTCCCACCAGAGCCGGGACAAGAAGATCCATGTGTACGGCTACTCCATGGTGAGCCCACAGCCTCGGGCCTCGTTGGGCCGAGGGCCCCAGTCCTGGCTTGGGGAGACCTGGCCCTCCAAGCTGCCTGACCTGGGGTGCTCAGTTTTCCGGCCCTTCTCAGCGGCAGAACCCTCCATCCAGGGCCTGTAGGCTCCCCATTTCTCACGTGGCATGACACAGGAAACACACAGGGTGGGAGGGAGCCACCCCCTGCCCCTCTGCTCTGGCGGTCTGCGTGCTGTTCCTGGTCCAAAAAGCCTGACTGGCTGTCATCCTTTAGTGCTTTGAGGCCATCAGTGCTGGGGTGAAACTAAGAGGCCCCTGTTCCTCCCTCCCTTCACCAAGCTACCAACAGATACACGGGGGCACCTAGAGGGGTCTGGGCCTCCAGCTAAAGGAAACTTCCTCAAGATCTGCTCACCCTGGTGGCCACGCTTCCACAGGAGAGTGCCCTGGGGTGGTCGGAGGGGATGACAGCCCCCTCCCGAGCTGGCCCCTGGTGTCCCTGCTGACCGGGCGCCCAGAGCCAGGACAGGGCTGTGAGAGCTGCCTTCTCCCTTCAGGGTTATGGTCGCGCCCAGCACTCCGTCTCCACTGAGAAGATCAAAGCCAGATACCCTGACTACGAGGTCACTTGGGCCGACGACGGCTACTGAGGCCCACCTGAGGCCAGCCACCTCCAGCGGCCCACTCGGAACTCTGTTCTCAAGGCCACCTCCCAAGAGGCTGGGCTGCACCCCCTGACGCTTTGCCACCCTGGCCAGGCCTCGTGCCCGGGGTTACCTCTCTGGGGAGAATTAAAAGCATCGTCACCTCGGCTGGTCCCTGAATGCTGTGTGTCTTGGCTTCTCTGTTCCTAGGTCACCTCTCTGTACCCGCGACTAGAGTGGGGGCAGCGGGTCACTCCTGGCTGCCCCTCACTCTGCTCCACCCCTGGAGGCCCAGGGAGTGGCAGTGCACACTCAGCCCTTTGAGGCTTGATAAGGGGGCCCCTGGGCTGCTGCCCCCGTTTATGGCCTGATTGCTTCTCCACGCACCTGCTATCCCCAAGGACATCTGGGAGGAGGCCTGACGAGCCCTTACTGCAAGGAGCTAGGGCTGAGTCCCTCGGGCCTGCCAAGGCGGGGACCCATCCCGATGTGTGGGGAGGGCAGGCACCAGCATCCACCCTCTTGGCCAGCTGCCAACTGAGGTCACGAGTCAGGCAGTCTACGACCCTTCGACTCCAAGGTCAGGTCCCACGGCCCTGCGTCGCAGCCACAGGCTCTGCTCCAAGTAAACAGGCAGGGCTTCAGACTTGGAGCTGGGGGCCCCTCTCCCAAGACCCTTCTCTTGGCGCAGGGCTGTGGGGAGCGGAGGTGTCCCTTGCCGAGGCTGTGACCCTGCCGTGCCAGCCTCCTGTGAGCCTCCAGGGCCCTCACGGGAGCCTCTCCAGGCAGGCACCATTGTGACCGCGTTTGAAAATGAGGAAAGACTTCCCTGGTGGTCCACTGGTTAAGAATCCGTCTTGCAATGCAGGGAAGGCGGGTTCGACCCCTGGTCGGGGGACTAAGATCCCACGTGCCACAGGGCAGCTAAGCCCATGCACCGCAACTACTGAGCCCACGCGCCACAACAAAAGATCCCACGTGCAGCAACGAAGACCTGACGCAGCCAATAAATAAAAAAATTTTAAAATAAAGATGAGGAAACTGAGGCTCAGGTGAGACAAGCTCCCCAGGCCGCACAGTAGTAAACTGTGGGTGGAGCCTGGCTCCAAATCCTCCACGGGGGTCGGTGCCACAAGCCCCAGAGTCTCTAGGTTCCTCTGGACCCTGTGCCTGGCAGCGTCCAGCCCACACTGTTCAGGACACCTGTTGACGAATAGTCTGTCCATCGTTTGTAAGACAGCAGGCGAAGAGGAACCCACAGGCTGAGTTATGGAGGCCAACGTCCCGGGTTGCTAGGGCTGCCCCCACCCGTGCAGGGAACTCAGGGGCTGGGTGTGGGGTTTGCACAAGCTGGTTTCCTACTGGCAACCTGGGCCAGGCTGAGTTGAATTCCCAGCAGGCGTGGGGTCAGAGACCCCAGGAGAAGCGGCCGAGGCCGGTGTCACTCGGTGCTGTCTCCAGTGGGGCCTCCACCCGGCAGGGCTGGGCAGAAGTGGGCATGATGGTCGGAGCCTGACCTTTGACCTGAAGGAGCCAGGCAGGTGGGAGCCCCCCTAGGCCAGGGGCCCCTCTCCTGGATGCTTTTACAGCCGAGTGCCCGTCCTTGTCAGCGCAGGGCGGGGCCAGGTGAGGGGCCGCAGGTACAGATGGGGCTGAGCCCCGCTCTCCAATTAGAGCAGAGTCAGCCTGTGGGGCCTCGGGCTGATAACCAGGCAAAGTCCCCACCAGGCTGGCCGGTGGACACACTGCCCCTTGGTCTCCCTCCCTCTGGCCTGACCATGTCTCTGCCCGGCCACCTCCTGCCCGTCTTGGTCCTGCTCCTGGGTGAGTCGTCGGGCCTGGCTCCCGAAGCAGGAA